TATCTCAACCGGAATCGCTGGAGAATATGTTCTCACTAGGAAATCTGTGATAAGACTATCATTATCAACTGATTCACAGAACCACAGCAGCAAAAGCTTCCCTATAAGCAAACGTTCATGTGGGTGATGTCATGGGATGGATGCATGCCGGAACGCGTTTAATCACATGGAGACGCAAACGCCTGAGTGGTGGTTGTTTTTACAAAGGAGGCCAACATTCTTCCGCCGATTCCGCGTTGGCCGCATTCCAGAGCCCCGAATTATGGAGACGAGAACATCGCAAATCAAATTCCAACGATCAGATACAAGGAAGTGAATTGAACAGTAAGCTCACCGGGAGGCCTACATTATTGGATCGAGTTTATAGAATTGCAGCTTATTGGTGCGAATGATAAGCAAAAGCCTATACCCAACTTCATCCGCTGTGAAGGTCACCCATTATTGCAGGGTGTAGTTCGAAAAATCGGAAAAGTTCACGGCGTCACCGTCGGATTTCAATGGTTACCCAAAGGCTACTCGAATGTAAGTTGGTATGGCGGCGATCCGCTGCCAGTAAAGAAGTACTAAAAGCCTGCTGGATCTAAAAGTGGTACCCAAAAAAGTTTAATTCGACTGCCGCATCCAAAAAAGGGCCAAATTTTCGGTGTTTCGAATCGTTGGCCTGATTTTCTTCACGCATTTCCTTACTGAATCTTCAAAATTTTCTAGACGCTCTTGAACGCCAATTTGACTCGACGATTTGATTTTTTTTCGATTTTGATAATTCATTTCGTGAGCAGTTTCTCATACATGCAGTCGTTAAGTATGAGAGAGTATGTAGGCGTATAGGGTACATATAAAGAAAATGACGAAATGGCGTTATTTATTATTCATGCCCCTTTGCAGACGTCAGTCAAACGCCGATTCTGGGAAACATCCCTTTAGTGTAAACTCCTCAGCCTCCGTAAAGTTCAAAACATCTGAGGAGCAATTTTTCCCTGACCCTTTGCCAGCACCCAAGGATGTTGGCTTCTTCGTTCATCCTCCTTTTTATTTGAACATCTTCCTTCCCTCTTTCGGGTTTGATAGTGCCAACCCTCTAAACAGCCGCCCGAATACTTTATCGTGCCATCAGCGAAAACCGATGATATGATCTAGGGGAATGGAGGTAGAGGTCCTACGATTGATATCGGAACGATTAGCGGCTCGTGTCTTTCCTTTTTTTGAAATGGAAACAGCCACAGCAGGACGACCAAAGGAAGATAACTAGCGGTAGTAAGCAACAGCTTGGGCAAATACCTAGGCTACGGCGCTCCCTGATTGTGACAAGTGGAATGTATCGCATACCAACCATTGAGCCCAGCTGACGTCAACTACCCTGTAAGTGCGTTGAAATGGGCGAATTCGTGATGCACTGGGAAGGCATGACGTGGACGAAAATTGCGGGTGATGTCATGTGAGGCTTTTATGCCTCGGCTGACGAAATATTGCACAACAACGCCCCTCAACCACAATGGGCGTAGCGTTCGTCCGTTCATTAATGCTGAGGAAACGTCGCCAGAGGTCGGTTTTTGTTTCTAACCGAGGTAGCACTCAAGGGCAACGTCATATTGTCCTTCTGATGATGCTGTCGCTAGGCACGTGAATTACAGAGGATCTCGATGGCGTCATCTTGAGCCCAATATTGCAGCCCAACAGAGGCGGAGAGTGTCCCGTTCGAAGGCACCCTTGCAGAAAGCAGCAGACAGCGCCGCAAGTTGTCCGAGCCGGTCATGCACGTGACTGAAATCCACTAGGGCGACCAGATTTACTTCTTTTTTGTGTGGCTGTCCCAATTCGCCCTGACAGAAAAAGTGGTTCCCGTCCCTCACATACTATCTGAAGACGTTACAGGATTACAAGCACAATTGCAACGCGGATTTCTTGACCAAACAGTGCAAAAGTGATGCTGTCCTATCTCAATGGGAAAGGTGCTAGTGGGTTGGAATGTTCCGTTTTGGGATGCTTACCCACTCAGAAACTCTTTGCCTTCTACCACATAACCTAAAAGCTTCGTTCAAGACGCATTACTCATTGCCTCATTAAACCTTCGAGGACGTTATGGGTGCTGAACGCTGACTAATAAGGCGACTTTTGAAATCTACTGAACTTTCCTACGTCATTCCTGAATCCGTTGATGGCATCCTAGCGAGGACTAATTATAGACGATTGCTTGACAGCATGTTGATTACGCTGTCGCGAGACTCCCTTGAAATCACGTGCTCCGCCGAACGTAGGCAACAACTTGTGATCCTTTTGCTCCCCTCCCGATTTGGCTAGGGAAATGGGGATCTGCTACGTGCGGGACAGTGGCGTTGTGCCTGAACATCTACTCCTACTTTAGCTTATTCGTTCCCCACCTGGAAGTGGAAAATGCTTCAGAACACGGTCGCTTACTTATGCACTTCAGAGGTCGTGCTTAAATCTCTGCTTATCCTTGTCTTGTAGCTCAAAATAGTTTTGTAACCCGATCTACACGACTTCGGATTTCAATACAGTGCACGAGTGAGACGGGCTTGACTAACGTGACTTAGTCCGGTTCTTACCTTGTGCTCTCACCCGCCCGCCTTCACCCTACCGTCGGCCTCACCGTGACCTTTCTGTTCTCTTCGACAACTCTGCACCGATTGATTGCATTGATATGCCGCTTATACTTGACCTGAACGACATATTCCGCGTTATTTACGACTGCCGATACGACTGGCTCACGGGGATGGTACCCTGTTGTTGTGGGCAGGACTGCATAGGTGCTAAACCATGAATTATCTTTGATCATCTATGGAAATATACTACAAAGGATATAAAAGCGCCCTTATCAAAGTTTCTAGGGTAGGAAATAGTGCTGTGACGAGCAAATGACTCGGATAACACCCACTCTGGAATCGTAATGGGAGACTTCCTACTCTCATATTCCCTAAAGATGTGATATGTCTATTTTTCCCATGACATAATGACATGTTTGAAAGGATGATTTAGTGCACGAGCCAGTGTTTTTTAACCTCAGACAATACTGATGGCAACTAGACTACCTTTGTTGCCAAAGAACGGTCGTTTGAACCGGCATAACATGAGAGACGTCATGTCCTTGTGACTGTTGCTGTTCTTGGATCGTTGTCTGATGGGTTTTGGGCGTAAATACGAACCAACCGCAGCGAGCTACCCAGGGTTTGGGGTTGGGAAATTCTTGGTGAAGTTTCTTCTAAAACAATTTTGATTTATTGGTAAAAATTGCAGTAGCCCCTCTTGCATTAGTGTTATCAACCGTCACCGATTGTGAAATGCTAGAAGGAGTACAAGAAACGACTGAGGTATGAAAACATGCGCATGTGACGAACTAGGTATGTATCGGGGACAACATGGGAGGCTGTCTAGTGCAAAGTGGGTGCAACGACGACGGGAGCTGCTTGGCAATCGGCCAAGATTGTCCGAGAGCCGCGTTGAGTGCTTTGGAGAATGCAATTTTTCGTCGAGGCTGGCTGCTAGGGTGCGGAGCTCCTCACAGAGTGCAGCAGTCCTTTCTTGCAAACTACATACATATTTCTTTGCTGCACGCGAAACCCTTGGAATTGGCGATCCCCGATGACGACATCGAACGAACCATTGCTTTAGGGGGACTAGAACTGCAACCAAAAATAGGTGACATTGTTAGAATCGACTTTGCCCCCTGTCTCTCAAGTGCACTCGACACAATCGCACTGCTTTCACCCAGTTTTTTGCCACCCAGCGCGCATTTTCTCTCTCGAGATTATATACTTTGCAACAATCCGCAAATAATGAGTCTTGCGTCACACGATGGTAGCTACAAGCTTCCTCTTCAACACAAAGTTCACGTCTGTTTCTTTAGTGCAAGAAGGGAGAACGACAGCCACCCCGAGTTGTGGATTTCTTTGTGGAACACATGTTGGCAACCTGTCTCTCTACGAATCGATTCATTATTTACCAGTTGTTTTGAGGTGCAGCGATTGACGAGAGCTCGTAAGCAGCTCTAATACATGACATTACCACCGCGTTTCAGTGATGAACTGCTGCCTACCCGGATATTATGAAATAAGTTGTTGAATGTAAAGAAATCGGGTATGCACGGCTTGTCCAGCCCTTTGGAACATCCTTGAAATAGTTACTGTACGTTGCTGGATCATTCACTGGGGATTTGTCTGTTCATTCGTAACGCCGAGCCCGGTATAGCGGCCGAAATTGCAAGCAGCAAGCGCAGGAGGCCTCCCCAACAACATGTGACCGGTGAAGACTATCTATGGAATGTACGGGCGCGCGCTGCTGTGCAAACAACAATCGCAACATCCGTCGCGATGCAGGAGAACACAGTGATTGTGTCGCCCAGACCTTCCCCTCCTCAAACCAGCATCTTGTCGTCCCCACCAGCATCGCCACGTCCCCGAGCTCTCAGCTGTCTCTCTCGCTCCCAAGCATCATCATGTGATAGTTTACGATACAGCACCATAATACCCTGCAGTGAACTCGTCTTCGCTGTGATGTCCCCAGGCAGCAATTACCCGATTGATGTCAGCAGAAAGATATACCACGGGTGCCGAGTTCCATTGATATGAACGTCACCTTCTCAGATACTTTCTGAGGGGCGTTATGAGTCATGAGAAAGGCTAACTCGAATGACGAGACCCCGTTTAGATGACGTTAGTCAACATTAAATACTACATGCGACCTAACGACATGAGTAAGCAAGATGTGAAAAACATATGGTGTCTCGTTCGACCTTTTCATTTTCAAAAACCCACTTCCATCTCTCGGTTGTCCACTCTGCTGCCCCCAAGTTTAGTTTGCAGTAGATAACAAGGTCAGCGGAGAGTTATGGGCCTTTCATTAACGCAGAGGTGGGCAAAATCGTGTCTGTACTTTTTACTGGATACTGTGCTGTCCGTGCGTGCGAACAAACAACTCTCGCAGGGAAGCGGACGTCATGTAATCGCTTTGATACCTGATTTCTTCGAAACAATCCACTGCTGGTATGTAGTTTTCAAGCGATACGAGTGGAGGCGCCAAGGAAAAGGGCACGATCGTCGACCAGTTCGTACCAGTTCGTTGGCCGGTAAACGACAGAGGTCAAGAATGTGCTGTTTCGACGACGAGCGATTCTGGCCGAAGCGCTCAACGACGACGATACTCGAAGGGGAACCCCACGCTAGTCGTCGAACGCCTCGGCTGCTTGGCAGGCAGCAGCAGCAGCAGCCTCTGGCAAGACGGCATCGTTCGTTGCAAGTAATTGCCACGCGTTCCATAAATACAATTCAATGCCTGAGCGCTGTGTCCTGGAATGCCATGTGCGGTGCACGTGGCTCCCGAAGGGATGTACTTTGGAGTTTGCTATTCAGTCTCGAGACTATGACTGCTGCGACAACCGACTGCCCTTCGTGAGCCCACACAGCTTAAATCGATCCCTCCAACAATTCCGAAATTGTCAAGAGCTGCAGCGGGGTTAGGTGATTTTGGGCTACCCGTACCTACTTCCCACTACAACATTTAATTAGTGCTGTAGAAATGATACCCAGAGACGCTGTTCTTCTTCCTTTGGGCAGTTTTTGACCCCTGTCACCCCTAGATGGCTTGAGAAGGATGTAGATTCACCAGATGATCATGTAGTCTCTCTCGTTCCCCTTCTTCTTGCAATAGAAACCTTTAACCAGCTTATAGCGAACACCTCCGCGATTTAACATATTCAGCGTATTCCAGTGTCGCCTCTATGAATGGAAGAATCCGAAGAACCAGCAATTTTCGGAGTAAACCGCTGTTCCCTGGAGTCGTCGGCTGCAACTCGGCAACGTGCTCTCACTGAAAAATGAGTGCAAGTGGTGCTTATCTGGCCTGCCTGCGACTTTTGTCGCTTTGTCCCATTGTAGTCAGACTAAAATAGACTCTGATTAGACTGATAAATGAACAAAGGACCTTCCTTCTCGTGTGGTTGCCAATCAGCTGCAACAATTGGTTACCGTGTCAGTCCTTACTTGGTCAACGGAATTTTTTCATTGTCGTCGGCCGTCCATGGCAATCTCTCAATGCGACGGTTTTTCTTTGAAACAAAAAAGGGGTGGGGCGGGGTAAACGACTATTTGCAGGTCTTTTCGTTTTTTTTCGCTCTACCCACACCCACCCACACATCCCATCTTTTTCGCTCTACAAACACCGTTCAAATAGAAACTTTGCCGTTCAAAAAGACCAGCTTACTCTCCACGATTCCGGGTCTCAGCGAATATTTCGAACTCACTGGAACCGAAATTGCAAATTCCATCTTTGCAATCACGGTAACCGAAACAATTTTGATAGTTGGACGAAATTAGTTGCTTTCTTCTAACCTTAGTAATCCTGTTCATATTTCATTTTGGCAGGGCGATCCAACTTTNAAATAGAAACTTTGCCGTTCAAAAAAACCAGCTTACTCTCCACGATTCCGGGTCTCAGCGAATATTTCGAACTCACTGGCCCCGAAATTGCAAATTCCATCTTTGCAATCACGGTAACTGAAACAATTTTGATAGTTGGGACGAAATTAGTTGCTTTCTTCTAACCTTAGTAATCCTGTTCATATTTCATTTTGGCAGGGCGATCCAACTTTTCTCTTCATTGAAGGCAATATGCAAATAGCCCATATTGCACCAATATCATCAGGAATAGTAGTAACAATAATTGAGTTATACTATTTGCCAAAGCCACTTATCCGTTTAAGCTTTAAGGCATCACTGATCTCTTCTTTCGAAAACAGGGATCAGTGAGATTCCCATCCCTCGGGCTTCGAAACTGACGAAGCAATACGCAAGGTCTTATTGACCCGACATGGGCAAAGTGCGTGTCGTCCAACGAAACCCCTCTCAACCTAATCGGGCTAATTGCTGCTCTCCTCGTCCCCCCTCACTCACACGTCACTGTGTGCGTTTCGAACGGGGGAACGCCACGATCTCCACGAGCAACACTCGTGTTCGAAAAACGAGACTCTCGCCTATTGAATCAGCTGGTTCATGCGTCTCATGTGATTTCCCCCATCCTGCTCTCCTCCCTCACAAACAGTCAGTCCCACTCATTCCACTTCTTCGGTCTCAACCAGCCTGTCAAGCTGC